CCCAGCCCCGATGCTTTGGTTTTTAATCTACAGACTTAAACAGCATTTTTTGCTTCATCTTATGCTATTTGTATTTTCTTGTTGGACTTTTTTGTTTTGTTTTTCTGCAGTGCTAGGAATTCAACCCAGAATAACATCCCTATCCTTTGGTTTTTTTGAAAGAAGATCTCCCTAGGCTGGCATCAAATTCAAGATCCTCTTGTGTCCCTTTCCTGAGTATTGGGATTATAGGTATGAGTTACCATGTTGGGCTTACTACGCTTTAAGTTAAAATTTTTCTTTTGTGATTTCTTTTGTGGCATACAAATTATTAAAGAAGTACATTTTAAATTTAAGTTTTAAGTTAATTTGTAGTCAGAGAATGCAGCTTGTCTGATCTCAGCTCTTCAAAATGCATTGAGACTTATGTCCTAGAAAATGATCAGATTTTGGAAACTATTCTATATGTTCTTCAGGAAAGTATGCATTATTTGATTGGAAAAGATTTTACACATTGAAAACTAAGTTTATATATTGGCATACTAAAATGGCATAAGTCTTTATCTTCTTTTTAATTCTGTTCAAGAAATGGAGTCAAGGCAGGTGTATTAATGCCTAATACTGCCAAGTAGATTTGTAGACTTTGCTCAGTAATGCTATTAAGTTTTACTTCATATACTTACAGACTAATTTAGTCAACTTTCAGTATTCATGGGAGATTAATTACAAGACTCCTCTGAGATAAACTCTCAGGATGCTCAAGCCCCTTGTATGAAAAGGCATAGTATTTACATAGAACTGACACATACCCTCCTGTGTGCTTAAAAGTGTTTCTAGATTATTTTTTCTTTTTTTCATTTTGGTCAGTCATGGGGCTTGAACTCAGGGCCTGGGTGCCATCCCTGAGCTTTTTTGCTCAAGGCAAGCACTCTACCACTTTGAGCCACAGCACCACTTCCAGTTTTCTGGTGGTTAACTGAAGATAAGAATCCCACAGACAGTGGTGCTATAGCTCAAGTGGTAGAGCGCTCGCCTTGAGCTGAAGGGCTGAGGGACAGCGCCCAGGCCCAGAGTTCAAGCCCCACGACCGACAAAAAAAAAAAAAAAAGAATCCCACAGACTTTGCTGCCCCAGCTGGCTTTGAACTGTGATCCTCAGCCTCCTGAGTAGCTAGGATTACAGGTGTGAGTCATTGGCGTCCGGCTTGTGTTTCGTTTTTCAGAATATAGTGGTTTTGATCCCTGCTTGGTTGAATCTGCTGGTGTGGAACTTTTGTATGCAGGGAGCCAACTGTGATTAGATGTATACAATTCATCTTTAATGTCTGCTTAGCACTGTAACTCTTAATATCATGTAGTTAATCTCTATAGCGGATGCCGTTGATGCTTATACTTGCATACAACTTAGACTCTGAAGGCTGTTTTCTGCAACTCCGTTTGAAGAATATATTTGGCCTATACTCAAGGCTCAACTGAAAGTGTTGGCCAACTTCTTAAGACTCCAGAGAGGCCCTAAACTAATGATAGAGAGTTGGTGGATCAGTACCCTGGCTTCCTTGCCTCTGTTTGGATTGCCTAACTGTTTAACACTTTCTTCCAGTGCTACCCATGGCCTTGAGCTCCATTTCCCTACAATGTTAATTGGCTCTCATCCCTTTCCTCATCTGCCTCCCTACTACCGTACTGCTATTTTGGAAATGAATTACTTGCATTCAATGAACACTTTTTTTTTTTTTTATCTGTCGTGGGGCTTGAACTCTGGGCCTGGGCGCTGTCCCTCAGCTCTTCAGCCCAAGGCGAGCGCTCTACCACTTGAGCTACAGCGCCACTCCCATTATTTGCATTCAAATTCAGGGCATCCTGATTATTCTTAATAATTAGGGTAGACATCTATTTGAGGGTACTTTTGGCAAGCTAAAAGGTGCTATAATTCGAATGTGGTATGTATCTACCCCCAAAGATTTATGTGTTGGACTTGGACCAGACTATGGTGGTACTGGGTAGTCACTGGGGGTTGCCCTTGGAAAGATTTCTGAGGTCCCCAGAGATCTTTCTTCACCTTTTTCTTTCTTTGTACCAGTAGTAGTAGGGCTTTAACTTAACACCTAGGAGCCATCCCTTAGCTTTTTTAACTCAAGGCTGGTGCTCTTCCACAAGCTATAGCTCTACTTCTAACTCTTTGCTGATTAATTAGAGTCTCACAGACATTCCTGCCCCCACTGGATTCTAACTAGAATCCTCAGATCTCAGCCTCCTGAGTAGCTAAGATTACAGGCATGAGACACCGGTGCCTGGCTTGCTTTCTTTACTTGCTACCTATACACTTCCACAGATAATCTGATACACTGCCTACAGCCTGGCCCTCAGAATTCCCCAAGTATCTTGCATGCCTAAGCTTTTGTACCTGCTTCTCCTGCTTAGAATGTGTCCTCCCATCCTTCTTTTAATGCTTAACTAATCTTTCTAAGACTAAGCTCAGGTTCATTCTCCCCAAAATATCTTTACTGAAGTCCCTAATGTGGGTCTCTCCTACTTTCTCCCAGAGTACCTTGTAGCTACGTGTCATAGCATTTCATATACTAGATCATAATAATTTTCTTACTTATCTTGTCATCCTCCATGAGATTAGCTTCTGGGTAGGGACCATGGACATTATCCTAGGTGTAGCACAAGGTTTGGTTAATGGTAGATAAACAATTATCTGTTGAGTAAATTATAAAAAGCCCACTTGGATGAATAAATGATGATTTTGGAGTGGGCAACTTAAGAGATTTGAAAGGATAGTGAAAGAAGATAAAAGGAAATGATTCATATAGTTAAGTGGTTCATTTTGCTTAAGTGAAAGAAGGTTCTTATTTAATTTCATCAAAACTTTATTGAGCATCCAGCATGTGCTAGGCACTCTGCTAGATGCTAGTAATACAAAGATAAAGATCAAAACAAAACGAACAACAACAACAAAAAATCCACGTTCTTACTTACCCCCCCAATACAAGGCAGATTTGGCTTGAGCCTGGGAAGCCAGCCCCTGAGGGGTTCAGCACCAGGGTGTGGCATGGTCTCATCTCACCCTAACCTTCACCCCTATATCTCAAGGCTGACTTAGCAGGTACCACTTCTCCAATGTCTTAGCTACCTGAGCAGCTTCTCCTTATATACATTATGAGGAGTGATGTACCCTGTAAGGTTAGGGGATCCTTCTCATTAAGAAAGGGAAGATGCAAAGAAAGATACACTTGCTTACATGAACCCAGGAAGTATCTAGGGAACTGGCAAGCTGCTGACAAGCATGCTATTGGAGTGAGGGTAGAGGGGACAAACTAATCTTGGTGCTCTTAGGCTGGGGCAATGCACGGCTTGATAAGAAGGTGGTGGATACAAGATGACTTGAGAGTTGCTCATAAGGGAAGTAGACGTGTGGTTCAAATGATAGAGCACTGGCCTTGAGCAAAATAGCCTCACAAGAGTGCAAGGCCATGAATTTCAACCCTAGTTCAAAAACAAACAAACAAAGGCCAGGAGTTTGTGGCTCATACCTGTAATCCTAGCTACTCAGGAGGCTGAGATCTGAGGATTGTGGTTCAAAGCCAGCTAAGATAGGAAAGTCCATGAGACTCTTATTGTCAATTAACCACCAGAAAAACAGAAGTGGTGCTGTGCTTTAAAGTGGTAGAACACTAGCTTTGAGTGTAAAAGCTCAGATATAGGACTTGGGCCCCAAATTCAAGCCCAACAACCACCATGTACAACAAGAAGTTGTTTACAGGATGGTTAGAGCTGAGACTTACAAGATAAGGAGGGGTCAGGGATGCAAGGCCTCCCAGGAACAGTAGGAAGGGGAGGACAGAATACCTGGGGCTTCTTTCTCTTCCTATGTTTTAACTACCCTATCTTCTTGCCCAATAGATTATTGCCTCTCCTCCAAACTATTCCAAAGTGGTGGCCACTGTAGACTACCTAGTACCCAGCCCCTTCGTATTCAGAGGGTAGGATGATTGGGGAGTTTGCGCTGTCTGGTGGTGTGGGGTTTGAGCATCTGGGAGGAAGGCAGCTGAGGGAGTGGGGTGGGGGCAGAATGTCTCAAGGATTGGATCAGGACTGGCATTGCCTGACTGGGCAGGCAAATAAGTGTCCTCTTCTCCACACCTTTTCTCTGAAGATCAGAATCTCATGCTTCCAGTTGGAGGAAGCTCCCCAACCTTCCCAGGGATGATTGTGTGAAATGCTTTTTTCATAAGGAAGCCAAGGAGAATCGTGAGGAGTTAAAAACAGATACCACCAATATAGCTTTCTGAGAGAAGGGTGAATAGGCATGCCCTTCTTTAAGGGAATAGACATGGCCCATCTTTCCATGAACAGGGACAGGAAGAATGCCAAGCATGACCTGCAGACGTGTGTGTGTGTGTGTGTGTATGTGTGTGTGTGTGTTAGTTCTGGAGCTTGAACTCGGGGCCTGAGTACTGTCCCTGAGCCTTTTTTTTTTTCTTCCTTAAGGCTGGTACTCTACCAATTGAGCCACAGCTCCACTTTGGGGAGGAAGCCAACATGGGGAGCTTGAGTAGTTTGCTAGCACCCGGGTTCTGGGGTATATGGTATATGTCAGAACCCAGGAACTGAGCTCCCTGGGGAACTGTTCTAAGACAGGGCCTTCACATTGTCCTTAAGGACAATGGGGCACTGGGGGCAAGCAGTCTTCCTAATCTGGGCTTGCAAAATAATAATAATTAATAATAAAAGCCAAAGAAATCAAGCTTCCAGAAGGAAAGGGAGTGGAGCAGGGAGCATTAAGAGCTCCCAGGATCATTATGGGGGTTAGATTACTGATGTTAGTTTCAGAAGATCCTTTTTTTTTTGGAGGAGGAGGAGGAAGGGGGCAAGAAATTTAATAATCTATACAGTCCTAAGAGGGCACAACCTATACCCACGGAGAACAAAGCCAATAAACCCAGAGCAAACGCAACCTGGTTTCACCCCTAGATGAAAATGATGATGATGATGATGATGACGATGTTGGCAGGGTATGTCTGCGCATGCGCACACGGGTCTGTCCCCCTCCCTCCCTTAGCCCCTAGGCCCGGAGGCTCCGGGACTTCTTAACCCAGCTCCCAGGACGGGACGCGCGCGCGTGGGGCTGCGGATCACGCGTGGGGCTGCGGATCACGGGGCGCCTCGCGGGGCTCCCCGAGGCGGCTCAGGCGCTGATCTCCACCGGGCTGGCCTCGTCCTGCTCGCGGATCATGTGCACGCCGCCGGCAGTCCGCAGTGTGCGCGAGGCGCTGCGCGAGCGGCAGGGCGAGCTGGGAGCCCGCGGCGGGGACGCCGTGTGGGTGCGGCTGCTGGCCGGGGAGGGCGCCGGGGAGCGCGGGTAGCGGCGGGCGGAGCGGATGGGCAGGCCCGGAGAGCGGCCGGGCACCGGGGGCGAGACGGAATAGCCCGGAGGGCCGGGGTCTGCCGTGCTCCGGGGCTCCGGAGCGGGGTTCTCCTCGGGGTCCGGAGAATCCTGCAAGGACACGAGGTGCGGGCATCAGGGGCCCTGGTCTAGCCTGGCCTAGGAGGCTGGGGCTGCGGAGACCTCCTTGGGTGTGGCTGGACCATCTGCTTTTCCTTCTGTTTCCTGAGACATGTACTAGACTAGTAGGGTGCCTAGCAGGTAATAATAGGCGCTCAGTAACTCGTGGACAAACCTCTGAGTACTTTGTCCCTTTTGTTCACCAGTCTTGGGCAACCTGAAATCTTAAGTCATGAAATAGGAAACCAATAGAGCTGGTGTCCAAAGACTTAGATCTGGAACCTAGACCTGCTACTTACTTGTGTGCTTCATCCTGTGCAGATTGTATTTTCTAACCTGTAAAGCGGAGATGATGCTGGATGCGGGCATCTCACACCTGTAATCCTAGCTACTGAGAGGGCTGAAATCTGAGGATCGAGGTTCAAAACCAACCTCAGCAGAAGAGTCTGCAGGACCCTTACCTCCAATGAACTAATAAAAAGTCAGACGTGCTCAAGAGCACCAGCCTTGAATGAAAAAGCTAAGGGACAGCGCCCAGGCCCTGAGTTCAAGCCCCAGTACTAGCACCAAAACAAACTAACAGATAAATAGGAATGCCAGAAAGATTTCACAGGTATCCCAGCATGTGCTGGGAATTCACTGCTGGTTTGTGGGACACCCATCTCCTAGAGCTTACCTTGTCCTTCAGGATGTAGAGTGCCATGGGGTTCTTCCGCTCCTGTTCTCCACTTCGTGGGAGGGTGTCTGCTGCACAGGGGAAAAAATAGAGTGGCTGGCCCAGGTACAACTCTCTCTACCAGCCAGCAGCTCCGCCCCTTCCTTCTTGAGTAGTCAATGTGGCTGAATACTTGAAGTCCTACCTTGCCTTGTACATGTCCCTGTTCTGCAGTCTTCCAGAAGTTGGTTAAGGAAGGGCCCTGCAGAGCTGGCTTCCTTGTGGCCCATTTCTCCCCTTTCCCAGCAGCCCACTGATCTGAGTATGGATGGGTGGGTGGGTGGGTGTTGGGGAGCTTACCTTCTGATTTCAGGCGGTCATCATTCTGATCCATGTACTCCAGGGAGTTTTGCTTCTCCAGCTTCCTCTTCTTCCTGCATATCAATCCATCCCCCCACCAAGAAAAGAACTATTGAATGGGAGCAGAGGACCTGGGGAAGGGACCCAGGAAGAGCTCTGATGACCATAAAGGAGGCCTCCTCATAACAGGAAGATAGGCTGGGTATGAGGGGGGTAATAGGAGTAGTACCTGAGCTTTGGAATGGGTTACATTTAAGTTTGCATGTTGATCTGTCACTAGCTTGTGGCTATGGGCAAGTCATTTATCCAACATGAGTCTCAAGAGTCTTGATGCATAAATTGGAGGCAATCAAACTTAAGACCCCATCCCTACTGCCTGGCCCAAAGATCCTCAGCACATAAAACCATTATTTCTGGAGGCAATGGGCACAAGATACAATTCCATACATAATGAAAAGAGACATATCTTGGGAAAAGGTAAAGAGCCCTGGGAAGCAAGGCATCTGAAGAGATGAGAAAAGATCCCTGCATGGTGGCTCATGTTTGTAATCCCAGCACTTGGGAGACAGAGGGAGAAAGACTGAGAGTTGGAGGTCAGCTTGGATTACATAGTAAGAACTTGCAAGAGAGGTGGGGGGGAGAAGGGAGGGAGAAAGAGAGAGGGGGTGGGAGGAGGGAAAGAAGGAAGTGAAGGAGAGGAAAGGGGAGAGGAAGAAAAGATGGAGATTAAAAAAAGAGGGGTAAGGAGAATAATAGAGGGAAGGGGAGGAGAGAAGAGGAGAGGGGAAGGGGAGGGGAGGAGAGGATAAAGAGTCTATGATGTATGAATTCCTGCATTCAGTCCCAGGCACCTAAATAAATGATAGAGTTTAGGGCTGGAACAGACAGAAGGATTTGGGTGCATGGGTTGTGGAATTTGCCAGATTACCTAGACTTTTTGGAGGGCTTCCAGCAGGCACAGACTGTCACCAAGGTCACAAGGAGGAAGATGCCTCCTGTAGACAAGATGATGTAGAGGGAGCTTCTTCCTAAGGGGAGAGACAGACAGACAGACAGGTGGGAGAAACTTCTGGAAGGGGCAGTGGGTGTAACAAGGAGAGCTCGTGGTAGTGGAAGGCAGAGAAAAAGAGCCTCAGGTGCCATGGCTGGCAGGTGGCAGAACTGGCTCAGAGCCCAGTCCCCACCTTGTCTGTCCTCCACAAATAATCGGCCCATCTCTGCCCTCCTTCGCCCCTCAGAGTTGCTCTCTGCCCTTAGCTCCACTGGGCACCTGACTCTCGGGCAGGCGGGAAGACTCACTGTACACGGTGATCTTGACCGGCAGGCTGCGGACCTGGCTGATGGGATTCTCCACCACACAGCTGTACAGGTCATCGTCCTCCATGAGCACGCGGGTGATGGTGAGCACCTTTTGGTCCGGGGACAGGAGCATTCTGGAGTCGTTGAGGAGGGGCTTGCCATCCTTCAGCCATGTGTAGCTGGGCTTGGTGCCGTTCTCATGTGAGCAATTGAGGGTGAAGCCCTCACTGAGCTCGAGCACAGTGGTTGAAGCCACTACCACCTGCGGCCTTGAAATGGGCACTAAGCCCCAGTGGAAGAGCCAGTAAGTCATGGGCAAGAAAGTATCTCCCTCCCCCCACATCCCCGCCCCGCCACTTTTGTTTTTTGTCAGTGGTGGGGCTTGAACTCTGGGCTTGGGCACTGTCTCTCAACTCTTCAGCTCAAGGCTAGCACACTGCCAACTGAGCCACAGCACCACTGGTGCTGTTTTCGGGTGGTTAATTGGATATAAGATTCTCACAGACTTTCTTGTCTGGGCTGGCTTTGAACTGCAATTCTCAAATCGCAGCCTCCTGAGTAGCTAGGATTATAGGTGTGAGCCACAGATGCCTGGATCCCTTTCCCTTTTTTAAAAAAATTCCCTGAGCCAGGCATTGGTGTCTCATGCCTATTATCCTAGCTACTCAGGAAGCTGATATCTGAGGATTGAGGCTCAAAGCCAGCCTGGGCAAGAAAGGCCATGAGACTCTTCTCTCCAATAAACCACTCAGAAAACCAGAAGTGGTACTGTGGCTCAAGTGGTAGAGCACTCGTCTTGAGCTGAAGAGCTGAGGGATAGTGCCCAGGTTGAGTTCAAGCCCCATGACCTACAAAAAAAATAAAATAAATGAATTCCCTACATTCCAATATGCCATGAACTCAGCTTGTGGACTGAGGTAAAGACATGCCTAAAGAGTTCCTCAGTGCAGTCCCTTCCCATCGTTCATTCTTCCATTCATTCATCCGTTTACTCATTCCATTTCTCATGTCCCTACTAAGTGCAGGGAGCACAATGCTGAACAAGACAGCCTGGTATCTGCCTTGATTCTTCCTAAGTACCTTTCCAAGACCACTGGGCTTTCATGTCTCCAACCAGCTTGGAAGATACGTTAGTTAGGAGAAACCTTAGTTCTAAGTATCTGCATTCGTGTCTTGGCTCTAGCAGTTGTATAGGCTTGGACAACTGATGCCGTCTCTCTGTGCCTCAACTTACCTCATCTATAAAATAGAGAGAGTGACATTTACTTTGCCTAAATGATTGTAACTGCTAGGAGCTGACATACGCAAAACACTATAGGTAGCTTCTGGCACACAGCAAGGCCTCTGTCCATGTTGGCCGTACTCAAGCATTCCCCCCCTCCCACCCTGCCACCCGGCTCCCACAATCTAATGTCTGTGCTCAACTCCAGAGTGCCTTGTATTGGTGTTCTCTTGGGTCTAGCTAGTGTGCTGGGCAGACCCTTCCACAGTCCCAGCCACCTGTCCTGCCTCCATCCTGGTCAGAGAGTTTTACCATCGACAGTGAGGTTGATGGTCTTCTCCCCCGTGAACGTGTCATCAGTGATGGAGATCTCCACCTCATACGTTCCCTCGTCAGCCAGCTGCAGGTCACTGAGAAGCAGGGAACCATTTTCAAAGAGTCGGATACGGTCTCGATAGTCAGGCCGCAGATTGCCGATGACTTCAGTGCCAATAGACTGCACCACGGTCACGGGCTTGTCTCGCTTCAGCTGCCACTTTACCACAGGCTTGTCACTGCTGGTGCTGCTGTACTGCACGGAAAGCAGAGCTGACTTCCCCACGGTGCCATGGATCAGACGTACCGGGCTGGTGATGTTCACCCCCTCCAGGGGGGCTGCAAATAGCGTCCCATGGGGAAGAAGGTTAGGCCCAGAACCTTACCCTCATCCACCTTTAAGTCCCTTGATCTCCCAGTATCTTACCCTGTGGGTCCTTCATTCCCTCCGTCATTAACTCTCCCATGGTGGCTCTATGCTTTGGTGCCCTCACAGCCATCCCATGGCTCTCCTATTTCCTGGTTCTCTGCCTCCTCTGGCCCTTTTTCCATTGCCTTCCTCTTATAGGAGATTTAGCCTACCTTCGATGTCTTTATTCATAGAAATAAAACATCTCCTATGTGCCAGACACCTTTATCCTATGGCCTTCAGATAAATCAAAAGCAATGCAGATAGAAATCTTTGCACTCCCGAAACTTATTGCTCATTGGATAGAAAGGGAGAATTTGTCAAACTTGAACATTGGGCTGGTGGGGAGCAGAGAAAGCATGGGAAGGTAGATCCACAATGCAAGAGTGTGTTATAAGAGGGGGTCGAGAAAGGGGCAGCTTAGGGGGCTCAAGACATGGATACTTTCCATCATAGCAAGAGTATCTGATCTTTACCCCAGAAGCAAGTAGCATCTTTCTGAGCCTGCCCAGTACAAAATAGAGGAAGAATTTGGATGGATAGAATCAGAAGAGCCTTGCAAGACTTGCCTCTAGCCTACTAGCACTTGGGAGGCAGAAGGATCATGAGTTTAAGGCAAGTCTATTCTACACAGTGAGACCTTCTCTTTAAAAAAAAAAAAAAAGCCAGGCACTGGTGGCTCTCACCTGTAATCCTACCTACTCAGGGGGCTGAGATCTAAGGATTGTGGTTCAAAGCCACCTGGGCAGGAAAGTCCGTGAGACTCTTATTTCCAGTAAACCACCAGATAACTGGAAGTGGCACTGTGGCTCAAGTGGTAGAGCACTAGCATTCAGCTGAAGAGCTGAGAGACAGTGCCCAGGCCCAGAGTTCAAGTCCCACTACTGAAAAAAAAAGGCCAAAATTACCACTTACTGCACAGATTTAGGCAAGCAAATCTTTCTAAGTCCCTTTCTTCTTGTTTATAAAATAAATATATCATTATAAAATAAAGAATAGTAACAATAATAACAGCAACTACCCTTTCATAACCATAGGATTGTTAAGCACCCCAGTTACTGTTGTGTAGTGGAAAGAACACAAGTTTGAGCATCAAAGATTAGGCCTTCTGCTGGGCTGTTTGATCTATGAAAAGCCACTTACCTGTTTGGGGTCAGATTCCCCTAACTAATTTGAGTAGAGGCTATATGGCCTCATGGACTCTAGGATTTTAGGACCTTGTCCAGGGAGTCCTATTCAGAGACACATCTCATATTCTGAGGCTTCGTTGTAGATCTAGGGCCTAAATGGATGCTGTTCGTTGGTGTTACTGGTCAAATAGAGCATCCCAACCACTCAAAAGAGAGTCATCTGGAAAGGATGCTGGTAGGAATCAGGAATCAGGGCTTAGCTGAATAGACACATGCCAGGTTCTCAGTCCCTCTGTTCTCCAGTTGCTTCCTTTTACCCTCTTTGTCTCTGAATCTTCCTATCCTTTTTGTCCTTACTTCTTACTCCACTATAATGCAGTCTAGAGTTGAGGAAGCTGAGCTATGCTTTCTCATTCTTCCTCTCCTCTGTTCTAGGGAGTCTAGACCAGAACAAGAGACAATTAAAACTTTATAGTTGTTTGTGGCAGGGTGGGTCAAAGCAAATTTTATTCATTAAGCATATTCAGTCTATTTTCAGAACTGGTACTTTGTTTAGTAGTGAGCACCTCACCTTTGGAAGAAGTCAAGAAAAGACCAGTTGACTTTCCTTTCACCTCTCTGGGTCTCTTTCTTTGACCTGTAAGCCTTTTCTAACGCTAATATTCTATGACCCATTACCATCAATGTATCACAAAACTTTGAGTGGAAAAGATGGCTATAAGAATTAGGACAGGGGCTGGGAAGGTGACTCAGTGGTAGAGCGCTTGCCTTGCATGCCTGAGGCCCTGGGTTCGATTCCTCAGCACCACATAAGCAAAAAGAAAAAAGCCAGAAGTGGTGCTGTGGCTCAAGTGGTAGAGCACTAGCCTTGAACTGAAGAGCTGAGGGACAGTGCCCAGGTCCAGAGTTCAGGCCACACAACTGGACCCCACCCCACAAAAAAAGAATTAGGACAGTCTAGAAGTGAATTTTTGAGCATTTTATGTTTGTTGTTAAATGGAAGTCTTAATTTGAGGAAGGCTGAGTGGACAAAATAGTTTTCAAACATTATTATTATCTTAAGTAGTTTCACAAAGGGGTTTCAACTCAACATACCCATTTATGAGCACAAATGCACCTAGATCAGTATAACCATGTCCATCCTTCTATCTCAACCTACCTCATCAAACTTTTTTTTTTTTTTTTTTTTGGTCAGTCGTAGGGCCTGAACTCTGGGCCTGGGCGCTGTCCCTCAGCTCTTCAGCTCAAGGCTAGTGCTCTACCACTTGAGCCACAGCGCCACTTCTGGCTTTTTCTGCTTATGTGGTGCAGAGGAATTGAACCCAGGGCCTCGTGCATGCAAGGCAAGTGCTCTACCACTGAGCCACCTTCCCAGCCCCTCATCAAACTTTTTTAAGGCATTTTTATTCCTATAAAATTTTTCATCAAAATAGAAATAAATATAATGTTGGTCTAACTCACCTACCTAAGTAGAATTTGTGGAAACATAAATCATGTCCTCCAAGTAATGGGATCTACTAGGAATCCCTAGTCTGTGTACCAGGTGGAGATCCATTTGGCCATATGATCTTAAGGTTACTTGCAACTCTCTGTGATTACTTAAATGGGATTTCTAAATCAGATCTCAGGTTTGGCTTGATTTAGAAAAACAAATTCTCTAATTTCTTCAATTAAGCAAAGGAGACTTTAGTATATATGACCCGAGGTGTTCTTGAGAAAGGCCATGAAGAATATGGTAGTGATGGCATATATGAAGCATCTTCCTCCTCCTCAGGATGCAATAGGGATGTACACACCAGTTATATTTGCAGAGCCCTCCTGTGGGTTAGCCAATCTGAATAACACCCCTGCTGTGGTGTGCATTGTGGTCTGTTTAGGTATTGGAAGCCTAGTCCTCAATGTTGTAGGTTTTAAGAAGCAGTGAAACCTTTAAGAGGTAGAGGAGTTTAGCTTCACTGAAGGTGCTGAGAGCTTAAAGGAGTTTTTGTAGTTTTAAATTGATTCTCCAGAGAAAGAGTTATTTAAAAAAAAAAAGAGCCTAACCCATCTCTGCCTTCCTATTTTTCCATGAGATCTTTCTCTCTCACACACATTCCCTGAAGTCATCTGCCCTGGTGTGCTGCAGTTAGACCCCTTTCCCCCGTCACCAAAGCCCAGGGTCAAGCTGTTTGGATGGACTTTCTACCCCTAATGTTGTAAGTTAAAATAGCATCTTTTTATTATAAAGTACTCAGCTTTGAGTATTTTATTATATCAGTTGGAAACTAACACAGATCACTAGTACCAAACTTTGAGATTTCTATTTCCATATACCATGGCTGGAAGAGACAGCCTTAGCCCTAAGATGAAGCGATTCTCCCTCTCCCTTCTATAGCTCTGACCTCCCTTGAGTTTCTCTGGCTTATACTGTCGCCTATCTCATCCCATTCCAAGGTCCCAGGAGACTTTTTTTCTTTTTTTTCTTTTTCCTAGACTTTTTTTCTTTTGTGTCAGTTTTGGGCTTGAACTCAGGGCCTGAGCACTGCCCCTGAACTTTTGTGTTCACTTTACCACTTGAGCCACACCTCCATTTCTGGCATTTTTTTTTGGTAGTTCATTGGAGATAAGTCTCATGGACTTTCCTACCTAGGCTAGTTTCGAACCATAATCCTCAAATCAGCCTCTTGAGTAGCTAGGATCATAGGCATGAACCACTGGCACCCAGCTTCCCAGCACCCCTTTTAGTGATGTCTTTCCTCTCCCATTCTGTTCTTCCTATAAGGTTAGATAATTTATTTTGGATTAAAAACATTGGGGAAATTGCAGTCTATGGATTACCTCAGGCCATACTCTTGTCTAAATGGCTACTCTCCTTCCTTAAGCCTGTGAACATGGCATTCCCGGGGAGTGGAGGACATTCGTCGTGTTTATATGGGTCATACATAGTCATACACCCATGTTCACATGAAAAAATGAGCAGACTTTGCTAAGCAAAGGCTGTTTTGCAAGAACTGTAGGCAAAATCAGAATCTATATTAAATTCAGGATTCCACACTTTCAAACGACTCGGAGAACTGGAACAGGAGCCAAAGCAGGACACAGAAGTGAGGAAATGGCTCACAAATGTAGCCCAGAGTGGCAATAAAAAGAATTAGGACTATTCAACCTGGAGAAGTAATTAACATAGGCATTGTCTCTGAGATATCATTATGTAGAAAGTTTTTGTTCCCACCTAAGGCTCAATAAAAGGAAACTAACATCCCATCAAGAAGTTCCTGTGGACCTCAACAATGCTCTTTGGATTAGATCAGCCAAGGAAATTTCCAGAGTTGTGTGCTCACTCATCTTGTCCTCAAGGCTGGCACTTCTACTACTTGACTGACACTTTCAGCTGGTTGTTTTGCTGTTATTTTTGGAGATAAAGTCTTGAGGACTTCTGTGTCCAAGCTGCCTTTGAACTGTGATTCTCCAGATCTCCGCCTCCTGTGGAGCTAGGCTTATAAATGAGAGCCACTCATTCTCAAGAGAATAAACCAGTTGTGACTTGAAGGAAAGTCAGACTTCCAATGTAAGAATGTATCTGAAAAGAGCTTTGGGCTCCCTTTATAGCTTTTTCATTGAAAAACAAACCATCTAACCACTATCTACTCATATTTGCTGGGCAAATATTTCCCTTTTATCATATTCACCACAAATTTACCTTTCAAAAGTGCCAATGGGATCTGGTTTCAGTATTCTAATGCCAAGAACTGTAGCTATATCCCCTTTTACCAGAAACATTTTCTTTCTTTCTTTGTGAAGTCTTTCTCCTTAAAGAAACTCCTCCATCTCTTCATCCATCATGGACACCCTTCCTTGGGATTTCTCCAGTTACCTTCTTTGTGCGGGGACCTGACCCGCACATAACAAAGGATAGCATACAGCAATGTCTTCTAAAAGGAAAGACACATTGTTTTCTGCTTTGGCTCTTAGTTATCATTCCTAATGATACAACAGCCTCCACCCGTGACCCGTGCTGTTGCTATCTAGATGCATTACTTATCGTATAAATGTAGGGGCTATTGTGTTGTATTGTTATCCTGTTGAGGCCTAAGACGGTGAAATCATTTAAAGTACCAATCATTCAGGAATGGGAGAGAAAAACATCAGGAAACAGAAACTGTGAAGAAGGCCCTTGGAATACAGAAAGAGAAGACTCTAGAGATTTTTATATGGTCACAGATACCTAGCTGTATGAATTAAAAATAGCATGTAGACAAGATGTTTGTGAATTGAAACACTCACTGTTGTTAAGCTGTCAACTCTCCCAACTGACCTTTAATTTAATACAATACCACTGAAGACCCAGGAGGTTTCCTTTTTGATATTGGTACAAAATTAGCTCAATAGAGTAAAACAGGACATCCCAAAAAACAGAACTCTATATATGTCAGTGGGAGTACAAATCAATACAACTACTTTTTTGCAGGGGGAGGGGGCGGTCATGGGGCTTGAACTTAGGGCCTGGATGCTGTTTCTGAGCTTTTCTGCCTATAGCTAGTGCTCTACCCACTTTGAGCCACATTTACTTCCAGTTTTCTGGTGGCTAATTGGTGATAAGAGTCTCATAGACTTCGAAGCTGGCTTCAGTCCATAATCCTCAAATCTCAACCTCCTGAGTAGCTAGAATTATAGGCATGAGCCACCAGCACCCAGCTTGTTTCAATTACTTTTGAAAACAGATCATATCAAGGAAAGTTCAACATGTTGTGACTTGGATATGGTTTACTTGTGTCCTCCAAGGATTTATGTTTCTGAAGCTTGGTTCTCAACGTAGTAATTTTTAGAGGTGGTATAGAACTTTTAAAGGCTGGAGCTTAGCAGCACTGCTTAGCACATTGGAAATGTTCCCTGGCAAGGGGTAAATGTAGTTTTCCTGGGACCCTAGTTAGTTTCTAGTAATGTTTTACCTTCCGGTATCACCCTGTGATCTCTTCCTCCTCTTTTCCATCTGTGATCATGTCCTTCACAGCTTTATGGTTTGTATATGAAGTATCCTTCCAAAAGGCTGAGTTTCCAGTGTGGATCTAATTGTTGAGAGGTGATTAGATCATGAGGGTGCTAATTTCATGAATGGGCTAATTCACCAATGAGTTCATACTAAGTGGGCTATTAAGAGGTGGAGTCTGATTAGAAGAAGTAGGTCACTGTGAGATGTGTATATCTTGAAGAGTTTATCTTGCCCCATCTTCTTCCTGTCTCTCTCTCTTCCTATTATCCATGACAAGGTGTATTATCCATGACAAGGTGAGACAGTTTCTCAACCACATACTCCAACCATCATGATGTTCTGCCTCACCATGCATGGGTCCAGAAGCAATGGAGCCAACTGACAATGGAGTGAAACCTCTCTAAGCCAAAATACACCTTTCCTCCTTTAGGTTGTTTTCTCAGGTGGTTTACAATAGCAAAATCTACCAGGATCAGGCTGATACCAGCACCATACTCTTGAATCTTTAGAACCGTGAGCTAAATTAACCTCTTTATTTTATAAAGATATCAGGCCTAGAATATTTTGTCATACTAAAGAAAAATATACTAAGAGAATCTATAACTCAGCAATTCTATTCCAAGGTATATTCACAGATGAAATTTGTATATATTGTATATATTTACTAAAAGTCATATACCAGAATATTTCAACAACTCTGTTCATAAAGCCTGAGTTGAAGATTGGTTTAGAAACAACCAGAGTATCTACCAAAATGGGAGAGATAAATTGTGTTATATGGAATACCAAGCAATGAGACCAAATGACAATTATAATAACAATATACATAAACCTGGCAAACTGTTCAGCAAAGGAAGCTAGATACAAAAATGCATGCACATAATTTCATCTATAATGTTCACAGACAAGCAAAATTAATATGTATTATCAATTAGGATGCTCCTGTAATCCTCAAGAGAGGGCAGTAGTAACTGAAATACTAAGGGGCTGATTTTGAGGCACTAAATATTTGATTTCTTTATATGGGGGATTAATATTTGGGGTTACTTTTTATAGGTTCATCAAACTATGATTGCCATCCCCATCCATTGTTTCCAGGCTATATTTTGGATCTTCTGAATGTAGTTTACACTCAACTTCACAAGCTGAATGTAGTTTGCCTAACTCAACTCATACGTTCCTCCCCACCAATGATGAACTGCTGGTTCTGCCTAAACACATGAAGCTATTTCAAGCTAATGACTTTTGCCTATTTCCTCAACTGTAGTGCCCATATATACTCCTACCATTTTTCTCATCCTTTAAAATTCAATGCAAATGGAAGTGGTGCTGTGGCTCAAGTGGTAGAGTGTTAGCCTTGAGCATAAAGAGGCTCAGGGACAGTACCCAGGGCCCCAAGTTCAAGCCACAGGACCGGCAAAAATAAAATTAATTCAAATATTCCTACTACAGGAAAGCTAACCTGAGATACTACCCCCATCCCATTCTGCTCCAAGGGTAGGCAACCTTTCTCTGATTCCTATATATTATCTGTGTCTAACTCATGGTAGTTTCTGTGTTTGTTCAAATGATCTCTTCACTCTATCACGCATTCCTAGTCTCTCCGTAACCTTTGTGTGTTTATACACAGAAAATACATCTACTGTATTTAAAGTAAGATCAGTTCTCCAAGAAGTCAGTAGGGGGCGCTACAGGAGGTAGGTGTCTATGACATGGAATGAATTACAGCTAGGTTAGTGTTCCTACCCTAAACCAGGAGGCTTGTTATCTTCCAGCTATCCCATCTCCCATGCAGTTTACACTCAGAAAAGCAGAGGAGGGGTTTAGGGAGGTGCAAAATCGAGATTTTTCCCTCCCTCTCCCTCCTAGCCCCATCATAATCCTTTGGGAAGAATGCTGGACTGGCCCACGCCAACAAGTCATCCCATAAGACGTGGCATAGTGCCCTCCATCTAATGTACTGAATGCCGTGGGAGCTCCTTTTGGGGGACGGGGCCCGAGGTGGTGGTGGGGGGGGGGGGGGAGGGGGCAGGAGACTCATGGAATGAAGAGATACATTCAACACCAATGCTTGAATTGTTGCTTCCCACAGCCTGAGCTCTCTCCCCTCCTCCCACCCCAAAGGCATTCTGGCCTTCAAATCTTCCCCTCCCTCTCCCTTGAAAGTCCTTTCTCCAGATCCTTTCTTACCCTTTGAGTCTCCTACCTGGCTGGATCAGAAGCAGGTAGACCAAAGGAGTGAGGTGCAGGGCCCTGGAAGCTCTGGACAGGGCTCCCCTTTCTCTCTTCATTTTGGGTGGCGTTCTCCAGCTCTGCTGCAGACAATTAGCATGATTTCTCCACTCTGGGCACGTCCCTTTGTACCACTCGGAGTTTCTCTGCCCGAACACAGCTCTGCCAACTTCCCTCTGAATACACAGAGCTCTGTGTATTGCTGGGCTTGTGCTTTCCCCTCACTCAGACCTGGCATTTTCTAGTATCCAAGCCCTGCATCCCCAGTTGGGATGCGATTCTGCTTAAGAGATCATCTCCATTGTAGGTTCCATTGTGAGGGGTTGCTGGTGGGGGTGGGGGGGTTCTTCGCTTGTCTGAGCTGAGACCCACTCCCAGAGCAGATGACAATCTGGTCTCAGTGAAGGCACAGCACAGGGACACACTGAAGGAGACCTTCTGTCTCAACCCACCCTGTCTCCACTTCATACTCCTTGTTCCTGAGAAGGAAGGTTCCTGCCAATAAGCTCTGGAAAGAGAGAGAGAAAGGAACTTTTGTAAAGCTAGGAAATGAGGAACTCCACAGAATTTCCATGGAATTTCTAAAGAAATGGGAAAACTCCTGTTTTACCTCACAGGAAGAAGATTGGAAGATAGCTCAAGTTCTGTTGTTTTCATACCTTTCCTCACCCTGGCTGGCATTCTCCTGTCATAGAATCACGTAGATGCTGGGTACATGCTCTGTTCACTCCCCTGCCTTCAGCCACTATTCGAGAACATGTCAGAGCAAAGATTAAGGTAAGGTCACCAGCCAGTATCCCAGCACAACAGTCTAGTCGTGGCATCCTGTCTCAAGGCTGTACACCTAAGCTCTACCCCGATGCAGCTTGTGACCATATCTCCTCATGGTGGCTGCTAGTAGGCATTCTTAGAAACTGAGTGGTACTGGGATGGCTCACTACGTCTCTTTGAGCCTCTGATTTCACATCTGTAAAATGGGGAGAACAATAGCCTCTTTGGAAGAATTGTTGGAAGGATTGGTATAAATATGGCACATGAGAATGACTAGCACATTTTTTGTTAGTGAGATGATACTTAATGCTGAGTGTAACAGTACCTCCTGGGATCCCAGCACTCAAGAAGCTGAGGTATAGGATAATCAGGAGTTCAAGGCTGGCCTGAACTACCTGGGGAGACCCTGTCTCTAAAAAAACAAGCAAGCAAGCAAACCAACAGAAATGATATTTAAACCATGTCATTAAAAGTGCCTTTTCTTCTTTCGTTTTTTATTCCTACAGGGATATTTTATTTAGTGAGACTAGAGTTCACAACTCTACTCTCCCTGATCTGATATAAATGCACCAATGATCTTACCGCTTCCTCTTTTTTTTCATATTGAACCAAGCTGTTTTAGAACTGAAGCTTCATTCATCTGAAAATACAGAAAGATAATATAGAGGAAGAAGAACTGGGAAGCATTGGTGTTGAACTTCACAGAGGAACTCCAAAAGATATTTAAAAACCCACTTTTTCTCTCTTTTTTGGAAGGGGGGTGGTACTAGGATTTGAACTCATGCTCCATGCTTGCTAAGCAAGCACTCTACCTATTGAGTCATGACCCCAGCCTTTTCCTCCTTTTGTAGCTCGGTACCTATGACTTTTCCCTACGCAATGTAAAGCACCTGTTTTTCTCTAAAAAGCTCTTGTTCCCGCAGGTTTGCAAAAGAGAAGACAAATTCAGCACTCAGCTTTTGACATTTAGAAATTCACATGGAGTTAGTAGCAAAATAAAAAGCTTAAAAGTCAGTAGCAAAATAAAAGGCTTAAAAGTCAGTCTTTGCAAAGAACAAAAGGATATTCTAATTTCTTTCCATCCATCCCTTTTACATATCTCTTTGGCAGGTGGTGGACCAAATCACAGAGTTCTTCTATGGTATAAATAAATAGGCCATTTTGCCTGTGATAGCTTGGCCTTGAGGCTTATTGGATGGGAGGTAGAGGAGCATATGAAGTTCAGGAAATAGCCTGAAATCTGCTGCTGCCGCCTCCGCCTCCTCCTCCTCCTCCATCACCACCTCCTTCACCTCCTCTTCCTCCTCCTCCTTCTCTTTCTTTTTGCATGAAGAACTGTGGAAAATAAAATGTGTGAGAGAGAAAGCAAAGAGGCATCTAAATCCTTAACAGAGGGATGAGACTAAGGCTACTCTACTTGCACAGAATTTGCAAGTACTACAAAGTGCCTACAAGCCCTTGGGAGATTGAGAGGTGCTGGGAGGGTAAAGATCAGACAGAAACCGGGTGCTGGTGGCTCACATCTATAATCCTAGCTACTCAGGATGCTGTCTGGGCAGAAAAGTCTATGAGACTCTTATCTCCAATTCACCACCAGAAAACCAAAAGTGGTGCTGTGGCTCAAAGTGGTAGAGCACTAGCCTTGCATAGAAGAGCTCAGGGACAGTGCCCAGGCCCTAAGTTCAAACCCCAAGACTGACCAAAAAAAATGTACAGGCAGAAAGCAGAAGGTAGAGAAAAGAGGCCAGAGTGTATAGGGACTTTGATATCTCTTCACCAAGGGGTGATAACTATGGGCCTAGCAAGGCTGTATTGGGAGCCAGCATGTAACTCATTAGACCTGGGAGCACCGTAGTAGGATTCTGAGAATATAAAATGAGTCCACTTCATTCTCTACCCCTGTTGCAACAAGGTCACCTTAGCTAGCCCACCTATCCTTGCCCCACCCATTCTCAGAGAGGAGCTGGGGTTAGGGGAGGAAATGGAAAATCTTGCTTTGCACAATTGTCAAGTTGCCCAAGCATGGACCTAGTTACCTGAAGAAATAGTTAATGTGGTTACACTAAAGTGTGCATAACAGTAACCTGAAGGTTAGATGCTCATGTGAAGGCCACAGCAACTGCAAAGACATAAGGGCACTACTTGGTATATCTGAATGTATAACATGCAAATTTGCAATCCTGGCTGAGAGGAGCAGACCTGGAGAAGCTTAAAATTGACAGTTTACATGTCTTTCTCTCCTAATAGACAGAGAACTTCTCCACCCTGCACCCTCTGGGTACTGGGAATTGAACTCAGGGTTTCACCACTTCCTAGGCAAGCACTCTGACATTTGGACTATGACCTCAGCGCTTTGGCTAACTTACTAGGCTCTCACTAATTTTGCCCATGTCAGCTTTGGATTTCAATCCTTCTGCCTCTGCCTTCTGCATTGCTGGAATTACAGCCATGCCTCACCATTCCCAGTCCAAGAGGACTCTTTAATTTAAGGCCTGTTTGTGTCCATTGTCCTGGCTTCCCTTTGTGCTGTCCTTCCACGAATGCTTTGGAGGTTCTTGCTGGGTGTGTTTGTCTAATTTACCTAATTGTTGATATGGCTAATTGTTTTTGTTGTTGTTGTTAATGTTACCTTTCTTTTTTTTAAATCTCAAATATATGTCCATACTTGTTAATCTCCATGTCCATCCAATTCTTTTTTTTGTGT